TGGGAGTTGAAGTCCACCCATCTTAAACTGGCCAAGGTTGAAAAACACTGGTCTATTCCAACCTGCCGCTTAGTATAGGATCTGCCAGTTATGTGAATACGGCAATTATCTTCTTGTGTCCCTGGTTCAGGGTTGAGAATAATATTCGATCTGGTGGAAAGGCAGCATCTTAGACCACGTTGGTTGGTGCACTTCAAACACATGGAAGAAAGCATGGCAGGAACATGGGAGAAGCAGCAACTAAGAATAGGGACAGGCAGCGTTTGGACAAGTCCAAGCGTTAGCTCAAGAAGGCTGATGGGATCTGAAGTAAGCACGGTTGCGCTGGGGTTTGGCGCATTAGTGCCCTTCTGACTGGTTCAAGCTAGACCTGCCATGACTTTAAGAGGAGGGCGGAAAGAGCTGTTTTTCTGACTTCTTTGCGTCCCTGGGCAACATATTCACCCACACAGTGAAAAAAAAGAGAAAAAAACAACAGCCCAGCTTAGCATGTGGTGCAAACGCAGCTGTTGGTCTTCCCCTGACCCGGTTAAGGGTGTGGGGTAACCTCGGTCTTCTGCAAGGGACCCATCTTGGGCATCCTTCAAGGGCGAAACTGAGAGCCAACCCCTGCATTAAAAAACCTTCCAGATCGACCATGCTCGTCTTCCAGGGAAGTGTTCCCCAACCTAGAAGGGGCAACCACGCCCTTCTTCAAGTTCTGGGACGAGTGAGGAGCATCAGCCACTTCCCTAAAAGCAGATGGCAAAGACAGGGGATGGGTCTTACTTGAAACCAGTGCCCGAGTATTCCAAATTGCAGAGCTTATATCTTCCGCCCATCAGATCAGCTGGTGGCTCCATGGAGCTTCTCCAGGGCCTGTCTTTCCTTGGGGAAGGGGAAGTAAAAAGCAGGAATTCTGTTTTTGTCCTGATCCTGAAAGGATCCAACTGTTTTCAGCCAGCAGCCACTGGATTCCTGCCAGGACATGTGATTTTCAGTCCTCTCCCAAATTCCACTGGGAGCGGATGTGGCTTTGGCCACGTGTGAATCCTGCGGTTGAGAAGCAACATTATAAGGATTGGTGGAAAGCAGGGATTAAAAATTGAAAACACCCCAAATGGTTGTATAACCAAGTCGATTGGTTCTCCTCCCACCCGCTTCTCAGCTTCTCTGGAGACTTGATCACAGCAGCCAACGGTTGTCAATCTCTTTAGATTCATAAAATGAAAGGAACTTTGTGTCCAGCAAATCCAACCCTCTGCTCAGTGCAGAGATCCTACAGGAAGCCATCTGATCCCTGCTTGAAAATCCAGTGAGGCAGAAGGTCCTCAACTACACGGTTGTCCCAAGGTTCAGGAATCCCTAAATTTATTTATTTTTATTTATTATTAAATTTGTATGCCGCCCATCACCCCCAATGGGTGACTCTGGGTGGCTCACAATTAAAAAGCAAAAGCCTATAAACAATTAAAATACCCCATAAATAATGAAGTACTCAGTCCATTAAAATCCACTATAAAACAAACCCTAGGCATAAATACATAAATGTCTCTGTGTCATGAAAATGCGCCCAAGGGCCGTGTGGAGGAATTTTCAGAGCATCTGCAGGACAAAGTCACACGGATTCATTCCAAGTTGGACTCCGAGCGTGGGGCAGGGTCTGGGGAGATACCGGGGAACTGTTCTTACCCAGTTATCTGGAAACAGTTTGACCCTGTTGTTCCTGAGGAAGTGGACAGGGTCCTAGGGACTGTGAAGGCCACCACTTGCCATCTGGACCCATGCCCCTCCTGGCTGGTGAAAGCAGCTCGGCAGGTGACATGTGGTTGGATCCATGCGATG